CCTAAACCTAAAATACTACACAAATATAATATATCAGGAACATCTGCCCCTCATATTTGTAGCACACATTTGTTTTTCACTAACACAATAGATAATGAAATATCAAATTAATTATTCATAAGTATTAATGAGAAAAAGCTTTCACAGAAAAAAACTTTCGATTTATTTACCAAAACATACTGTATTTTGCAGATTATTTTTGACGACCATAAGAGGGCCAGTGCCGTACAGTTTGATAGGTTTTCCCTGTCATACGTGGTCTACGCGAACCGGGAGATTATCGTGAGTGGAGGTGCCATCAACTCACCCCAACTGCTCATGCTATCAGGCATAGGACCCAAGGAACACCTAAAATCTTTCGGAGTAATCAAGCACTCATTAATTATAGACTCGTTTTGATAGCGATTATATATAATTATTAATTACCCACCCGTTCCCCGTTTTAATGACTCATTAGCTCATTTACACATCCCTTTCCCTCTATGTACTGTAGATCCCTGTCGTAGCCGATCTGCCCGTTGGGCACAATCTCCAGGACCACATATACGCCGGGGGTATACACTTCAAAGTGGACTCACCCATCACATTCAGCCACGAAAGGACTTTTAACGGCCCAAACGTTGCCAAATATTTTACGTCGGGAACCGGTAATCAATAATCGATACCATTTATGCAACAAAAAAATTATATACAATATAAGTTACATAATAATAAGCGTGTATATATAATATGCGAGACAATGAATAGCATTAGTATGGCAGTTTTTATGTCTATGCATTTGAAACACAAAAGTATATACTAGCAAGCTTGTTAAATGTAGTGTAGGTAAATTTTTAAATGCAGAGATCCAGTGTCCATCAAACAAAATGTTATGTATAATATATGTTTGATTGAGAATAATATATAGCTTGGAAACATGAAATTAAGTCTAAACTGCATATCAATTAGGTTTGCATTTATCGATACCAATAATTACAGGTCCGCTGACATCGCTGGGCGGAGTGGAAGGGCTGGCGTTTGTGAATACCAAATATGCCAACGTTTCGGACGACTATCCCGACTTTGAGATACATTTGTCTTCAGCCACCTGTACCACGGATGACGGCCGGGGTCTCAAACAGTATGGTGGACTCACAGATGAGGTTCACACAAATTATTACATTATATTTGCTTTTATTGTTAGACTATTTTAGGGCTAAATTGTATGGAAAATGCGTTTTCCTATTTAAATCTATTGAACCGTTTAGGCAGTCATTCATTATGTTTCGCCAAAATTTTGAGCCAAAAATCAATTGAATTATATGCGAGTGAATGAAAATAAATTTCATTTCATGAGTCTCTCTCTCTCTCTCTCTCTCTCTCTCTGTTATCCAAACAGTAAAATCTGCACAAAATGTATGGAAAAACTGTTTTTTGTATTTACTCTATGAATGCATAATGAATGCAGAAATTTGTTTTGAATAATAATAATATAATACAAGCGATGAAAGAGTGAACGAAAAATGTTTTTAAACCGAAAAAACTTTTTGCTTATAATAACAAAACAAGAGACGAGTTTCCCCTAATTTCTCAATTGTTTAAAAGTGTACACAAAAAAGTTTATATAACTTTTTTCATACGGGCCATGTATTGTGTAAAAAACTTTATACACTCGAGAAGTACACTGAGGGTTAAGGATAGATAGATAAGGATAGGTATATAGCGAGGGGACAGGTATACAGAGACAAGATAATAGAGAAGTTAGTCGTAGGCGTTATCAGTCGTGCAGTTAATACCTTATTATATAATATGAATCTCTTATATAGTATACATCGGTATAGCGTTTCGTGTGATTTTAATTTCCTCTTTGAAACTCACAATTCTTGCCGTAATTTTCCCTTTGAATGCATTTCTTAGAGAGAGACTCATCATTTTGAAACACAATTCCCGACCACACATTGCACTCATAGAGTAGTCACTGGTATAATACATTTTCCGCCACAATATATCATAAAAGCATACATTTGGTAATCTACCAAAAATGAGAAATTACATAATTATATTATTTATATTAATCTGCTTAATAAACATTGGATTTTTTAATTTACCAAAAAACAACTTAAAGCTAACTCCCAGTCCCCCTCCTATTTGCCAATTCCGCTCAGGTATACAATCAGGTGTACAAACCGTACGCGACGACCGACTCGTTCAGTTTGGATCCCGTCCTCCTACGTCCCAAATCGCGCGGATACATACGCCTGCGGACTGTCAACCCGTACGACCACCCGGTGATCGACCCGAAGTACTTCTCGCACCCGGAGGACATACACGTAATGGTGGAGGGCATGAAGGTGTCCATAGCCATCGGCATATCGCCGCCGTTTCGCAAGTTTGGCTCCCAGTTGTTTAGGACGGCGTTCCCCGGCTGCGAGTCCTACCCCTTTCTCAGCGACGAATACCTGGCCTGCGTTGCCCGCTCCTACACGGCCACCATATACCACCCCGTGGGCACGTGTAAGATGGGAGGGGCATGGGATCCGACAGCCGTGGTTGACCCGAGGTTAAGGGTGTTGGGCGTCAGGGGGTTAAGAGTGGTGGACGCGTCCATTATGCCGTCCATAGTGTCGGGCAATACGAACGCACCGACGATTATGATCGCTGAAAGGGCGGCCGATTTCATCAAAACTGAGAAATCCAGTGATTATGTAAAACTGGCAGCAGTTATATAGGTGGACAGGGATGTGATATTAATACGTAGGGATGTGCCCGTTTAAAGGGCTATAATATAGCTATGATTTACTAATATATTGTTTAGAGATACTGGAAAACAAAGCAAAATTAACTTATCTGTTGTCAGATTTTTTTATCTTGAGTTAAAAATGTTATGAAATATTTTTTTGTACACAACTTGTATACAACTTTTTAGTTTTTGTACACAATTTGTTTTGTGCCATAATATGCAGTATTTTAGCGTAAATACTAATAATTTTATGCAAATTTTTAATAGTTTTTGTATTTTGAGTAAACATCAAACAAGTGCTACGATTTTGACTGAAAAATATTTTCCTATTTAAATATAAATGACTCCAAAGTTTTGCACAATTCTTAGCGAAACAAAAACAAAAACATTGATTAAAAGGCAACGAAAAACACAAAAATCTATGAATACTTTTGCAGTGAAGTAATGTTCGTAACGAAAAATACTTAGAAATTAATTGAATGTAAAAATATATATACAAAAAAGACAACTAAAATGAGTATTAAATTTATTTATAAGTATAGGAAGGATATACTGAAGTGTAATATAATAGAGAGAATGCATTGAATACTAAGGAATGGATTCCTATGTGTTTTTGCTTAGCATTTAAGGGCTAAACACATGGGGAGAGAGAGAAACTGGAAAACTAGTCGGCGTTTAGTTTAATAATACTTTTAATATACGTTTATATATAATATAATATTTTCATTTTTATTATTATTTTTCTAATTCTTTATTTACAACACATTTATACAAATACTAACGTTTGAGTGAAAAGCGAGACACAATTACGAGACTACCAGTGCTCGCGACTAAAACTTTTACAATGTTTGTGTAAATCTACATATTTTTATGTTTCATACTTTATTTATACATACAAACATGCATGTTATAATTGTAATATCACGGACTTTTTTTTGGCAATAAAAACATTTTCTTGACAAACAAATACATATTCGCTATAAAGTACAGGGTTATTGTAAACTATATACAATTGATATACCGGGCTATTTATGTGTTTTAATTGCTTTGTGAGCCCCGTATGTGTGTGTTGTGTGAGAAAATCATTTTTCTATCCACACTATTGCCGGTAACCAGAGAGTGGCTGTACTTATGGCTCGCAAATGATAATAATAAAAAAGCAAATCTCCCATAAAATCTATTTATGTTATCCTTATATCGCTGTTTGACTTCTCTCTGTTAAAGCCATTTCTCCGCATATCTTATGAAAAGATAAATATTTTTTCTGTGGCTTAAGATCTCGCTATACTATACGCTACGCTAATGTTATACTCATTTGAGAAATTGTTTGCGAGTTTTTTGTTCATTTTATAATCGCATCTCTAAATAGTTATAGTATTTCTCTTATCCACTGAACTTTCTAATGCTTACCAAACAGTGTATTATTTCACATCAGAATGTATTTTTAAATAAGCATTTTTAAGCATATTATAGCCCATGGAATAAATAATGTATAAAGTTTATAATATTATTTGTTATCAAATAGTTGCCTATGTTTCCCAACCGTATTATATAATTGCCATCTGTTTATGTCTATAATTAAAATTATTACTCTGAGCTCTCAAATGAAATTTTATGTAAATATCAAATCTCGGTTATATATCGCATGGACTTTTAATGTGAAATTAAAATTTTACAAATTCAGTTTTGTAATTTTGTTTGTGTTTGCTTTTTATGGTTTTTCATTAGCTTTTTTATTATGCCGTATATTATTCTTACTCTAATTGTTAACTCCTTTTTAGATTACATTAATTAAAGTCAAAATGTTAATACAAACGGAAAGTACTATACAAAAGTAATGTATAAAACGTTTTTATAATTTTTCATAATTTTCATTATGATTTTATTACAGCGAAAAACTTTTTATATATTTATTATTATGTAATCTAAAAGTTTTGTCGATTTTCCCTAAAAAACTTTGTATTAATAGAAGTGAAATGTGTTTGAATAAAAATATATTTATTACCCCCATATCTACCCGTCTAAATTAATTTATTATATATTTTTAGCCTTTTTCATATACATGATTATTACGGTATATTATTATCAGTGTTTATAATAATGAGAAGTACATTGTAAATATTATACACGAAATGATGTGAATCTCGTACATTAATTGTGTATCGATATGATCGTTGAACTTCCAGAATACACATTATATTACGGCCCATATTATAGTCCCATATCTACACCAGAGATATGAACTACAAATAGAAAAAATACATACATTTTGTGATTAATTTTTCGCCGCAAATCTTATACTAAACGCTAAACTGTTTGACCCAAAAATCTTAACGCTATAAACAAGTGCTTTGATTAGAAAACTACAGAATTTATTAATAAAAACCAACAAAAAGTATATTAATATACGAATCGCTCGTTCAGTCAGATTATAACAGTAGACTTATAGCCGAGCTTACGGTATAAGTATATTACTACCTGAGCGCTGAATCAGGGCTCAGGTATGTAATATTTAATACATGGATGAGAGGTGTATGACTAACATATGGTGCCATTAAAGTAAGGAATTGGTATTCGAGACCAAACGTAAGTATAATAAGAGTGTATTTCTCTCTCTCGTAACACATAATTAGGACAAACCGTCTGACAAAACACAACCAGAAGTTCGTTACATCCCAGAGCTCTTTACTGTAGAGCCCTTTCCACACCAGAAATCCTTTGATGAGATTCCTGTCGCTGTGTGTATGTATTGCCTGTTATTGCCCGTCACACGAGTCAAAACACCGGGTGGAAAGGCATTGAAAGGGGAAAACCATTGGCACAGACAGTTATTATGCAAACGTTAAATTCATTGAACAAGTGTTGAGAGACCATTACGTGAGTAATGTTAGTCAGGCTATGGAAATAGTATGAAATACATGGGACTGTTGTAATGGTTGTGCTGTTTAGGCAGGCGTTTCACTAGACACTGGATTTCAAGTTCAGTAACAGAGAGACAGAATTTTTGTTGTTTTTTCTCATTTCGTTTTTATGTTTTCGAGAGATTTTTCCATTACTAACAGGAATTTAATATACAATTCATATATAATAATAATATTATGTATAGAAAAGAGTTTGTTATCCGAGTTGTTATAATAATAGCAAAAACTACTTTCTCTCAAAAACCCGACATTTGGTGTCACTTAAGACTTATTGAAGCGTTCATTCAATCTTTTTCTCTCTACTTATCTCTAAAGTGAATCACATTTTTATTATAACACAATGTATTTCTCTCTCTCACTCTTGCTATCAGTTTTTTGTTTGTCTTAATTGAAGCGAAATATAAATAATTAATAATCACATCTCGTGCCTAAAAACCCTGCAGTAAACTCGAGTACAATTTATTTTTAATGTTTTATTTTTGTGTGTTTCCACTCAACTTCTCGCCACTTGTATACTGCGAGACCCTATGTGTTATGTAACTCTCAATCTCTCAATCAGTAGAGACTCACAAATCATAAAACTATTTGCATTGATAGAGAGAGAGAGAGAGAGAGAGAGACCCGAGCACCGGGTTGTATAGCATTAGTCCCTTTCCATTATCATCTCTCACCTATTACCAGAATCATCTCAAGGTATATGAACTCTTAATAGTCAATACAAATTACAAATCTCTCTCTCTCTCTCTCTCTCTCTCTCTGTCCTATTCTGTAAACCTAATGATTACATAACGTCTTAGCGGTGCTGCGGAGACCTGCTTAAGGCACTTATGGGGGCACAGGTAGGTATCGATGCAATCGCAATCCACCAACAGGTGAGTCATCCCTTTGTGTGCATCAATGCCTATACCAGTGCTCTCGCGGGCCGATCATAGACGCGGAACCAAAACATTTATTTTAAGACTTTATTTCTTACATCACATACCATTCCCCTCTCACTATAACTACATTGCATTCACTTTGCTTTTCAACTCGCAAATATTTTTTTAAGTTTATTATTTTTTCTGTAGGCCTTAAGATTTCTCACAATTTTCTCATTAGAGTGCATAGTCTTATGAGTTGTGCTTTTTTGTGTTGTTTATGAATGCAATCGTTATTTGATTTAATGACAACTCGTAGTGATTAATATTACGCCACTCGCTATGTCTGTCTAATTACATTAATCCAAACCGTATTACTAGAGATGTGCAGTAGATTTACGCCCACTTAAAAGGCACCCAAAAAGTGACTCTTAAGAAAGGAATGGTAGGGAGGGATGGGATGTGTAGTCAAGTCAAGTGCTGGAGGAGAGAGGGATAGGGAGAGAGATAGAGATAGAGAACCTATAAGTGAAAGTTAAGTGCTATAGATGTGGCAAAGGATATACAATTTGGTGAGCGTTTTGTTTTGTTTCGGTAATGGTGTTGGTGTTTGCGATGAGGGGGGAAAGGGATCCGATATACCCTAGTATTGTACTGAGAATGGCTTACATATACGAGAATATACGGTATATTATGGTTTTTGGTAATGATGTGGAATAGGAGTTAGGAGTTGAGGGCCTAAAAAGCAGGTGCAGAGACTACAGCGAGAGAGAGAGAGAGAGAGAGAGAGAGAGCATAGGAAAAGGTTGCATTCATTTCGGATTCATTTGGATAGAAGTTGTGAACCTTGGAGTGAAAGTTGTTGTGCAGCTGTGAGTTAGGTTAGGTTCGCCGGGAGTTGTTATACTACCGGCGCTTGTACAGCAATTATGCCTAACTGGTCTGTGTGTGGATGTGATGCCTGCGCTAGTGATGGCAATCCCCTCGAAATACTGTTCAAAACTTATTCACAGAGAGACAGTTGCTTTGCGCATAGGCTGAGCAGTGTATGTTGTGTTTGGGAACTGTATACTGAACTCACCCTCTAAACAGTATCCAAACAGTAAGTGAACTGAGCTTTTTCTACGGGATATACATCCAGCATACAGGCGCTGACTCTCACAAAGTCAGGATATATTCTTCACTCACATTACTTTCACCTCATAGTATGTGCACTAATACTGGAAAAACTGTTCAGTGCATCAAACCGTAGACACAAACCATTGAATGCTGTGTTGAGGTCTGAAGTGTTGTGTTTCACTATCACTACCAACACAACCATCACTACCACTGAAAAAGCAAAACTTCATTTCATTGTCAACGAGTAATAATACAGTTTTTAGATTATTGTTTCGTATTTCCCTATTGTTTTTCGTCGCCAATTTATCTAATATACTGTGCCTCCCGTTCCCCCCTCCCGACCACTGCCATGTATAGCCGTCACCGCAATCAATGTCTAATCCATTTGCCACACAATCATCGCATAAATCAAGACTTACTTACGTTTATCACATAAGCCGTCAAAACGCTATATTAAAGGGATTTCTGTGTTTCACTCAACAAAACGGATAACAAAACATAAAAACCTATTATTTATCGCTGTATTTGGTGTCAAAACAAGTGCTCAAAACTAATCGCAAAAAACTTTTTCGTACAAAAACTTTATGTCAATATTTGTATCATCACTGAAACTGATCCCATAGTGAGTGAGGTGTCTGTCAGTGGCGATGAAGAAGTTCTTCGGCTTCGCTCGCCGTAAGTCCTCGTCATCGCTGAAGGGCCTAAACCCGCGCCGCTTCTCCATCGGCTCGTCGGCCTCCAGTTCCCTACAGATCCAGGTGGTGAGGGGTGGCTATAACGTGGACCTTGGTAAGGTGGACCAGTCGTTCACCAAACTCCATAAGGCGGCGCTCCTGAACGATGAGGACCGGGTCCGCAAACAGGTTAAGGCCGGCGCCGACGTGAACGCCAGGGACAGCTCCGACAGGACGGCCCTACACTTGGCTACGGTTAACGGCAACCTGTCGATCATCAGGGGGCTGGTAGAGGCCGGTGCTCACGTGAATGCCCAGGATAGTGATGGCAAGACGGCCATTGTCAAGGCCATTGAGTGCAATCACCAGGACCTGGTCCAGTACTTTGTGTGTGCCGGCGCTGATACCGAACTGGCCGACTATGAGACGGGTAATACACCCCTGCATTGGGCTCTGTCTATGGGGGCTGTAGGCGCCGCTCAGTATTTGCTGCGAAATGCGAAACAACTGGATGTGAATAAACGAAATAATGTGAGTATTTGTATGAATATTAGGCTACCAGTGCTCCCGTCGTGTATATAGACTTGGAGTTAGTTTTTTACAGTAATTATAATTATAGCTCTAATTCTCATATGATTTTTGGCTGTAATTACGATATAAGACTTGATATGAAGCGAGACATGAGATACTTGTGAGAGATGTAGAGAAAAAAGAGTTGAGCTCTTCATGTGATTAATTGTCTGATAACTCATACGAAACACTCATCGCCGGGGCTTTGGTCTCGGGTTTCACTATTTATGCCATAAAATCATATTTTCATAAAAAATAACATAAGAGAGAGAAACGCGTTTCAAATGAATTTTCACGACTCCTTTCAACAGCCCTTTGAGAAAACGCTGATAAACGAAATGAAATGACTTTTAAGACCCAAAAAAATACACATTTCTTATTATCTCATAATTTTTTCTACACTTTTTAGACGTAATTCCCTTTTCTATTATCTTAAAGCTATCTTAAGACTCACTTCATGTGAGAAAAATTTCTCAAATCATATATAAAAAGTTAATTAACTTTTTTCATTACGACTCCCTGTGCAGCAAAACGAGACGTGCCTACACTTGGCGGTCAAACTGCCCCAGAATTGTGTGATTCTGGAGGACCTGATAGCCAATGGCACGCATTTGGACGCCAGGGATGACCGCCAGAAGACAGCCCTTATGATAGCCACGGCCAACGAGAACCTCCAGGCCGTCAACACACTCGTGAAGTACGGCTCCAATACTTATTCCTCGGACGAGGACATGAGACACACGATTAGTGTCAACAGGAATAACGCGAAGAACGCGAGGAATCTGCAGATGTCGGCCCACGAGACGGATAGCGCCGATTCGTGGCCCGACACGGAGGACGAGGACAGCAATTATGAGCGCCCGATGTCTAAGGAGTCGACGAAAGCCCGCAAAGAGTCCTTCAAAAGCAACTCTTTTCGTGTGTCTAGTCTTGTCGACGAGACAATTGTCGAAGAATTGAAAACCGATGAAAACAACGATAACGACGATTACGTTATCTGTAAGCCAAGCACTAGTCGCGAGGAGAACGTTGGCGATGTCACCAATGGTTCCCAGGATATCAAAATCATTTGGAGCAAGTCTTCGAGCGATTCCGATGATAATAATGTCAATAATAAGGTGTCAGAGAGCGGAACGTTTGGCAAAATCGATACTCTGAAGGGCAGGGATGAGGTGTGGGCTAAGAACGCGTTGAATACGAAACAGAATCGCAAGTTCTTGGACTCGGATCCGTTCAATGCGGACGTGATGGACGAGTTGGAGCTGTTGCTAATCCAGGAGACCACACACGACGGAAACGTCGACTTTATTACGCAAATGAAGAGTTTGTTAGACGAAGACCCGCCTCCGCCACTCACATCACCCCTCAATGGGATCCAATCGCCACCACAACCTCTTCAGTCAACACCACTTAAGACACCAGTGCGTCAAAAATCACCACAAAATGATGTTACGAAAGACAGTGACAGACGTGAGGTGACAGTGAAAAGTGCGGACAATAAACTCCCGTTTTCGGGATGGTCACGAGGCCGCTTGCCAAAGGTGGTATTTAGGTATGGATTCAATTCCGCACTCTCATTACAGCCGCAATCTCTGCTACTCTAGTGGGTTTCTCACCAACTTCTTCACGGCCGAAGAAGTGTCGAAATCAGGAGTTCTCGCGAGGAGTCGTCGCCCACTCATACGGCAGACGATAATAGGCGGCGAAGTTATGCCGAAGTGGTGGCCCAGAAGGTGAACGGCGGGCGTCAGGCGTTGATGGATGAGCTCAAGAGCAGTATCAGCGCCCGGGCCAAGAGCTACGCGGATGTGGTGTCGACGACGAGTACCGCCGACTTTGAGCTGATCCGCGAAACCAAGATTCCTATCCTCAGAGCTAAGTCTCATTTATCGCCATTAAAGCAGAGTTTAAGACCAGCCGGTAGTCAATCAAACTCTCCGACACACCATCACAGCAACGGTTCCCCAAAGAATCACTCGTTGATTGAGACAAACCACGCCATCACATCTCACATGAACTCAAATAATCTGAACAAAAGTTTGTCGAAAATACCGTTACCTGTGAAACAGTCGTCCGAACCCACGAGACCTCATTCATCGGAGTCCACGACCTCCGAGGACTCCATGGGAGGTGAGGATCAGCTCATGGGAGCTGACGCGTCGTCGCCAACAATGAAGACACCATTGAGTGAGTCGGGCGTGAAGTCAAGCGGAAAGCCTAAGAACGGAGCCATACGTTCATCGAAGTTAAGACGACGAGTGAATGAGTTGACGGATGAGCTCAAGCGGGGTATGTCTGAGAAGTCTTTGTTAACCGCTGAGAACGAGTCCATACGGAAGCATTTGCTGGAATTGAATGAGAAGATCCAAAGGGAGAGCTCACGTAACTATGAGTTGGAGAAGAAGTTGATTAAACTGGAGGCAGAGCTGATCCAATACAGGGTCGAAGTAGACATGAAGTGCAAGGAGAACACAGCAATTAAGACAGAGTTGGCGACCATTGTCACCGACTTTGACGATAATCAAAGACAGTGCCATTATTTGGAGGCAGAGAATCAAAAGATGTTGAATCAAATCAAATCCATGAAATACGAGGAGGAAGTGCTGCATCAGAAGCTGACACAACAGGGTATGAGCGGCGGTGCGAGAGATGTCTGCGCTCACGAAGAGGTGATAATCGAGTGGAAGTCAAAAGTGGATGAACTGAATGCCCAGAACGAGAGACTCCGAGGAGAGGCCGATGAGCTGCAGAGGGTGTCCGTCGAGAAGCGTCTGGAGTACGAGCGGGAGCTCTTCGAGTGGCAGAAGCGAAATCTGGACATCGAGTCCGATCTCAAGCGACTTCAGCTGGAAATGCAAGTCAACTCAATAAAGCCATCGCCAGAGGAACAGCTGGAGCTCATCAAAGCCGTCCGAGACTTGAATCATCTGATGGCTAAACTCGACGATAGGATCACCCGAAACGAGGAGAGCCAACAGTTTAAGGCGCGGACTATCAATGAGGAGATGTTCGACTGCGCCCGCAATCTCTTGGATCAGATGAGAGCCGAGTTGACTAATTTCAAAGACATGTTGAATAACACCGCGAATAGAGATAACAAAACGGAGTCCGAAGAGAGACAGCTGTCGGCCTTCGAGTCACGGATAGCTGAGTTGCGGTCAAGTCTGGAGCGACTCGAGGACCAGATCCAGAGCCAAGAGTTGCAACTCTTTCGCCAGTCGGACATCATATCGTTGGCCACACCGCTGAGGAAGTCCTCGTCGTCGCGCGAACTGTTCATCTCGACTAACAATAAGCCTAAGAGTTGGTTCGTGCAGACGCTCTTCCGACTCCAATCGCACATACAGTCCACGACACCGACCGGCGATACCATCACAGCGTTTGTCCACCAGAAGACTCGGCTCCAGAAGCAGATCCACGAACTGAAGTCGGAATTAGGAATATTCGCCGAATCCGTCCATTGAAATGCAAATTATGTGACAATTGCCACAGAATTAAAGAATTAATTTATCAATACTTCCATAAGAATCGACAATTTATACCGAAATATACAGTATATATATAGACAGAAATTACCGTAATATCAAAATATCATTGTTTAATAATAAATATATAAAAAGCATTCATAAAATCATTAATTTTAAAATATATTTTATACATTTTTCTCTATATATTGTGTATTCTATATATAAATAGCTATACTTTTGAATTAATGTATTTAATTATGCGAAACAATTCGTATTATATATTTAATGAATTAATTTTATTCCTCATTTGTAATAAAGCCTTTCAAACCGCTATACACACGACAAACAAAGTGTCCGTTAATTGTCACTAAATTATCCATTACTCCGACGTCTGCTTCTTGGGCGGCACCGCGAGTGCCGTCTCTTTGATTTTCGGTATCATTTCAGTCAACTGGCGCTCAATGGACTCGATCTCATCCGAGTCCTTAGCCGTCAACTGCTTGATCACCAACTCCTGAGCCGTATGTAAGAGTGCAAAGACACTGGACTCGAGCCCAGGCCTCAAGAAACTGATCAATTGGGGCACGAATTTGCCGGACGCGTGGATCATCTCGTTGTGGTGGCTGTGAAACAGCAACAGTACCGCCAGATTGAGTGTCAGCGCCGAGTCGGCCGACTCGTTCAACTGCTGTATAAACTGATCAATTGGGGCACGAATTTGCCGGACGCGTGGATCATCTCGTTGTGGTGGCTGTGAAACAGCAACAGTACCGCCAGATTGAGTGTCAGCGCCGAGTCGGCCGACTCGTTCAACTGCTGTATCAGCGACTGCTTGTGCTCCGACACCACCACCCGTTCCCGCTTTTTGTCCAACTTTTTCAGCATAATCTCGCACTTAATGGCAGTGGACTCCAGTTCCCCGCAGAAGTCATCGACTGATTTGGCGTTCAGCGTAGTGTTCAATCGCTGTATGCATTCCTTGAGGTTGGGGTCGAGTTTTGAAATTAATTTCACGCGAACCTAATGGGGAAGTGGAGAGTGGAAAGCCGTTTCAGAAAACTTGTTTTTCATTGCATATGTGTGTGTGTTTGACGTCGCGTTTCAGTATTTAATATTAATTATAATCAAAAATGCGTTAAAAAACGATGAAAAAGACACACAACAGTCGGATAGTAGAGTTAACTGAGGACACACACCGAATGGACAGGAGTTGCTATACTAGATATGTCTTCGCTCGTGAAATGAATGATGAGTTGATTGACAACCTCTGAGCACAACGATCGCAATAAGTACTTCGTTAGCTGTGTCTGTAGTTCCTCTGCGAAAGCATAATCACAATAATCTTATGTTTAAATCAATTTTCAAACACAAAAACAACTTATATTTTCTTGTTTTTAGGAAACTATCGTATAATAAATGAATGAATAATTGAACGATTCGTACGATTCATGCAAATCTCTAATCACATACCGTTTGTTAAGACTTTGATTCCTCTGTCAAACATCAATATATTGCCGTAGATTTGGTTTATAGACTTCTGGACGTCGCTGAAGGACTTCTTGGCCTTCGCGGTCGAGGCGGACGCCGACGCTATGAACACATTTCGGGCGATTGTCTCGTATTTCTCTCGAAGAGACCCCCGAATATAAACCGCGATATTCCTCAGGAACTCCGGCGGACACTCGTCAGCGTTCGCCACATTCTTCTCCAGCACTTCCGTCACTTCATCGTTAGTCTTGAAACTGATCTCATTGTGTGTGGACTCGTCATCCGAGTCCTCCCTTGCCGTCTGTTTGGCTCCCGGTTTATACTTCTTCTTCACGGCCTTTGTCTTCACTTCTCGTCCCTGAGAGCCGGCACCTCCGCCGCCACCCCCTCCCCCACCACCGCCGCCTCCCTTTTTGTTGCCTTTTTTCGCGCCTTTAGCCCCGGAATCGCTTTTCTTATCGTCAGCTCCGGTATCGAGTTTTGCGGCCTTTTGTGCGGCAAATAACGACAATAAGAGACCAGATTTGAGGTCTTCGTCGGCTTTCTTGTTCATCAACGGTATGAATATCTCCTCGATTTTGGTGATAAACGCTTTGCTGACGACTATGGTATCGCATAAGACAATCGTCGGGTCGCTTAAGTTCTTGTTCTGCTCCAGAGTTTTGGTGATCAGTATATTGACATCACTTTCCGATAGGATTGTGGGCATAACGGGCACCAAATCAACCCAACTATTGTTGAGAATACACTCCTCTATAGAGGACTCGACCTGAAAGTTCAACATCTGGCCGACGGCACAGGTATTCAAGTAACACAACTCATCGCCGTATCGCTTATGCAGGTATGTCTGGGCGTTGGATATGCCTAACCTCGAGAGCGTTGAATAATCCAAATAACCGTTTAGTTTGTAGAAGTTCTCGACGTATTCCAACTGAGTCTTGGCGTAGATCTCGGGTATGTATGTCCGGCCGCTTAGGGAACCTGACAGTCGTTTCGTGGCAATCAAGTCGTTGACAATACCTGAAGAATAGGGCAAACCATTGAATCAATAGCTGCACACTCTAGAGAAGAGTATGGCTATCAGTGGACTTACTATTAAAAATACTTTCGGAAAACTTGTATCTATTGATAATCGTGTTGAGAGGCACGGGTCGGGTGACGGCGCTTAAGACTCCGGTAATTTTGGACTGATATTGTGATATGTAATCGTTGGTCACTATAATCCTGGAGTCGTTGGCATCGGCTTTGCCTTTGATAAGAGTTCCCAAGCGTTCAGTGATCACCGAGTCGATGAAGTCGGCGCTCAAGTCGTACTGTTTGGTCAGTTCGGCAATAGTGATGATTCCCGACTCCTGTAGCTTGAGATCCACTTCTTGGGCCATAGAGTCCTTGTACTGTCGGGACACCAACTGTCCCAACACTAGACTCACGTCACCGGCGCTCGTCCGCGACAAGTGGTTAGCCTTGGCCTCGATCTGGATGTAGTCCACGTTCAGAGTGGACACGAGGTCCGAGAGACTGATCCGACCGCCCGATGCGAACAACTCGTCCTCAATCTCTCGGAGCAGATGCTCTTCAGTGATGTACTCCTTGCCATCGTTCGTGAAGATCACGTCCAATAACTTCATTTCGATCAACCGCTTCACTATCTCCACGCAATTACGCTCAGAGAGTCTGTGGGATCAGATCCAGTCGTGTGTCATATCAATGGTAACCATGAGTTGATGGCAAACCTCAGCAGCGTTTCCGACAGTTGCGTCCTCTGGAAGTCGGCGGCCAGTCGTTTCACTTCCTCCCAATCGGTGGCCATTTTGGATCACACGTGCGGCTAAGAGCTGGTCCCAAGAGGTGATGAAATGCTTGTAAAACAAGAGATAATTGCGAGTTTTTTCACTGTGTTTGAGACGTTAGTTACGTTTGTATACATCACAACCTCACTTACGAGCGTTGGTAACGAGGGTTAATATTGTGATAATTTTAATAGTAGTTATTTTCATTCGTACCACTCTAAAAGTGTTATTAATTATAAGATAATTATTTTTGATATAATTGATAAATGGTAGCATGATACTATTTTAATTAAGCTAGCTAAAATCACATGTACTTATGACTAGTGTTGACTGTAACAAACTTTTGACGTACAGTCTATGCGTGCGCTTTGTAGACAAATCACTGATAGGAAAGGCTGGCAAACACTTCAACGCATTTCTTAATGCATTTGTTTGTATCCAACAATTCATTCATAAATAATATTTTCGTAAAACTTTTGCACACGTTTTGAATGACAAAAAACTTTGTGTTTTCAATGTTGTGATCATTTGTTGACATGTTTTCAAAGCATATCAAACTCAATTCAAACCAAATTATTAAGTCATGATTTGCCAGCGATTGCTGTCAACAGCTGCCAAACAGTGGTGTCTTAGCCGTAGTCCACTCGCGAGGAGACAATTATCATGGGGTAGACCCAGAGGTTTGGCAGCGCTATCATCCACAGCGTGCGGACACAAACTGCGGCCGATTTGTGTCCAGAATCTCGTGATCGACGCCTCCTTCGAGGACCTGATGTCCACACAAGAGTGCCATCGATTAGCCAGAGATCTGTATTCCATATATTGTCTCAACGCGTGTCTTCAGACGTCACCCGACAGTCAGTTCAGAGTCAACGTCTGTGTGGGCGACCAGATGTCCGCCAACAGCCTAACCATCGAGTATTTGAGACAATACTTGCCACGAGTGGATGCGGCTCTAAATGATCACCACTTTCTGGTCCACAATCAGTCATATGTGGATCTGTTTAGCCGCGAAAGGCTCGTGTATTTGACGCCCGACGCCAAAGAGGTCGTGGAGTTCAGCGCTAATGATATCTATATTATCGGCGGTTTAACCACTTTCTGGTCCACAATCAGTCATATGTGGATCTGTTTAGCCGCGAAAGGCTCGTGTATTTGACGCCCGACGCCAAAGAGGTCGTGGAGTTCAGCGCTAATGATATCTATATTATCGGCGGTTTAGTCGAGAAGAGTATATTCCGCCGGAAGTCCACTCGAGTGACACTATTGAAGGCCAGGAGGGAAGGGCTACGGGTCGGCAGGTTTCCCATCGACGATATGGTTAGCCCTCGCATGAAGAGAGGGTGTGTCCTGTTTTTGCCGCAAGTCTTCCGTATCTTAAACGATGT